TTACTATTTCAACATGGTGGACAGCTGCTGTGCGCCAGGATGCCAGAACAGGCAGGGGAAAGCTAGGGTTGCCAACCGTCCCGTATATTGGGTTTAATTTATGTGTCCTGTACGTGACCCTCTTGCCCCCTCACACAGTTCACATGCATTCGTTATGTAAATCAGAAAATCCTGAACATAACTGTTTGAGGAAGGCTGCAGAATCCTCTGCTGGCTGGTCGCTCCCGCTTCACAATTAAGTGGCGCTCGCGCTAACGCCAATCCCGTCTGTGTTTTGACTTTGGTAAATCAGTTTTGGCAAATACAAACTACGTGATTATTTTTCATGAATCCAACATCCCGCCGTGCAAGAAACCATGCAATCTACCCGAGACGTGATCAATAAGGGAAGCCATCTTTTATTGCAAAATAGAGAAAAAACATTTTACATTTAAGTAAGCTTCTTAACCTCGTAGTCTATCTTATTCGTAAAACACACAAAAAGACCAATAAAAAAAAAGTGTCAAGCACCAAAAGCAGCCCATATTAAATCTATAAGTTATCTTTGATATATATGGCCACATGTCACGATATATATATGCGATTGTCCTATAAAGCAAAGGGGAAATCATTTTATCATATTCCTAAGCATCCCGATAGACGACTAAAATGGTTCACTGAAATAAAACATTCTAACCAACACAAAAAGCACCACAGGGGCATTATAGGGATCTGTTATGCTTAATCTATTAAGTTTTGCTATGTACAGGTCTATGTCTTTTGAATTAAAGTACGCAGTGAACTCTGTTGCCTTGAAACTCATCCTGGCGCTATTCATTTCATATTCGCTCCCGGCTGTCCCTGCCTGCCAGCATGGTGGTGTAAACAGAATGGGTCACGTGACGTCCGGAACTCTTTACTTGTAACACAAACTCTATAAAATAAACTGTTCCACGTTAATGTTTGTCATTGTTATTAATGATATGATAAAGTGTTACCAGTGTTGAAGAACAAGCAGGGCTGCTAAAATACCATTACATAAAATACTTACCGGTAACTAATCATTTAACTAAAATTTTTAGTAGCATGGCAGTAGTTAGTAGCTCATATGCAAAGGCACTTGCCTTATCTCTCATATGAAGCATTACCAGACTCAAAAAAAATAAATAAATTGCCAGTTCACTAGAACCCCTGTACAGAATTATCCATCTTATTTTCTAACAGTATACAAAGTACGATTACAATATTTATTACAAATTAATAATTACACAAATTAAATTATGTAAATACATTTTCAAAATAGTAACTTGGCTGTAATTGAAGTACTTTAAATAAAGGATACAAGCTACAGTTCCCCAACACTTATTTAGTTATTTGCAACTATATGAATTTTCAAAATTTGTCCTCTAATCAGTGAACCTACCGAAGGACATAAATAGCTTTGAAATTAATTATTTGGGAATGTAACGCTTCGTACACAAATGTCTTGAAGATAAATACAAGCTTACTAAATGAGCAACTGGCGATGGAGCAGCCTCCAAACATGATCAATGAGAAAGGACAAGAATCAGCAGCAAACAAATGGCCCATCACATACAGATGATCGTCCATCACCTTACTGCACCTAGAGGCTTGTTAAAACCGCACTACAGCAGCTGGTGAAGCGTCGGTAACTTGATTGGAAGGATTATGCAGTCTTAGGGTTGATGAAAATAACAGTTTTCTCGGAGGGCGATATCAGACCTGCGAAAATCCATTCGCTTCCAAAAGTGGCCTCAATCCCAATATCAATTAAAATCTTGTCGGGACATGCAGAGCCGTGTTGGGGAAAAGTAGTGTGAAACAACAAGCCCAATCACAAATACGGCGAAAAAAGCAATCTCGCCCTCCGCCTGTTGTAAACTTCTGCGCTGTTTAACACAATCATTGCAAAAACAAATCCCCACTCCTTTTTAGGGCTTTTGTTGGGAGATAAAAAAACTGCTCTATCGTCGCATGGCGAGGACAGAATGGCTATTCAGAGGGCTGATCTTTAGTTTCCTTAGTATTCCATTTGGATCTTCGGACATAAATAGCTTTGAAATTAATTATTTGGGAATGTAACGCTTCGTACACAAATGTCTTGAAGATAAATACAAGCTTACTAAATGAGCAACTGGCGATGGAGCAGCCTCCAAACATGATCAATGAGAAAGGACAAGAATCAGCAGCAAACAAATGGCCCATCACATACAGATGATCGTCCATCACCTTACTGCACCTAGAGGCTTGTTAAAACCGCACTACAGCAGCTGGTGAAGCGTCGGTAACTTGATTGGAAGGATTATGCAGTCTTAGGGTTGATGAAAATAACAGTTTTCTCGGAGGGCGATATCAGACCTGCGAAAATCCATTCGCTTCCAAAAGTGGCCTCAATCCCAATATCAATTAAAATCTTGTCGGGACATGCAGAGCCGTGTTGGGGAAAAGTAGTGTGAAACAACAAGCCCAATCACAAATACGGCGAAAAAAGCAATCTCGCCCTCCGCCTGTGGTAAACTTCTGCGCTGTTTAACACAATCATTGCAAAAACAAATCCCCACTCCTTTTTAGTGCTTTTGTTGGGAGATAAAAAAACTGCTCTATCGTCGCATGGCGAGGACAGAATGGCTATTCAGAGGGCTGATCTTTTGTTTCCTTAGTATTCCATTTGGATCTTCGTGTTTATCCAATGCTGGTTTGCTCTTAAATCTAAGTGTAGGGTCGGATAGGGTAATGAAACTGAATGGACCTAACTATTGGCAACTTCCGATGGCGCAATAATGCCTAGCCTATTGACAGGACATGGGAATAATAATGTATTTGCATTAAAGGTATTATTTGTCAATGCGCCTGGCTTTGAGCAAACATCCACAGGGCTGCAGTCTAACTGCTACTGGAGCCTGGCCGCATTAATACGACTATTCATCCCGTGTCCAACTCAAGCCAAGAAACAGCATTAGGCCCGGGGCCCTGCGGCCTGCATTTGGACCGGCCTCGCTGGCATGTGTAGGTGCGTGAGAGCGAGAAAGAGAGTGCACCTTTTCTCCTCCAATGAGCTCTGGATGAAGCAAAAAAGTTCTTTATATCAATTAGCCAGACAAGTGTGCAATGGACACCTGTCACCCCACGAGCCCTCCTCCCCAGCCTGCTCTGATCAAGGACCGTCTGCCGTCCTGTTCTGCATCCATTCTAAAAGAAAACATCTAGGCTGATCTCAGATCGGTGCACCTTTCCTCTTGGGTGAAAGTGCTGGTGGCCCGTAGCTGAGCCAGGGGGGCCGTCCCAGCTCTGCCTGAGAGGCCAAGCACCGGCTGCACGGCAGACACAAAATCTGGGGCACAGACCATCTGGCTGACAGTGCAGTCTGAAGTGAAGAGGCTGTCGGACGTTTGTTGCCAGCATGGCTCGCAGAAGCAGGACATTAGATACCATAAAAACACACACACACACTCGGCTATACAAAGAAAATTTTCTTGTTGAGACAAGATTCAAACGAGGGATTTAATGCTCTGAATTCCACAGCTGAGGGCAAAATTCTCCTCTAGTTCTTTTTTTTATATATATAAAAAATTCCTCTCTAATGACCTTACATGCAAGCAGCGATGCTAAAAAAGGTAAGTTAATCACCACCCCACCTCATGCCCCCAAAAAGGGAAAAAAAAATTCAACCTTCACGCTCAACAAGGCAGCGAAAATTCAATATTTTCTCCGTGATAGTTCTTTGAGTTCATCCCCAGCCATGCTAATTTAAAAAAATCTGAATTCCTCACATTTGAAACAACAATTAAACGGAATCTCCTTGTACTATGACACAGAGAAGTCATAGTTAGCCTGGAAAATAACACCAGCCAGACTGCAACAGACCATAACGTAACATCACAGCTACTCCAACTCCAACTCAACTTTGCTCTATCAAAGGACAAATTCAGCGAAAAACATTCGCCCTCTCACACTATTAACAAATATGCAGCAGACATGCAAATGTAAAGTGGCTCGGCATGAGAGAGCAAAAGCAAACAGCTCTTACCTTGGGTTGAGCGCGTCTTGGAAAGGCAACTTTAGGATCAATCTAAATGAGACAAGAAGGAGAGAAAGAAATATGAGAAAACTGAGCTTGTGATACTGTTACGTGAAGAGGAAAATTAGAAAATATTAGAAAAAGCCGGCAATGTGCTGCGACTACTCGATAACCCTCATGGAAATTATAGCATTAATCATGATGCAATGCTCCATGTCTCATGTGTAATCTCGCCTAGTTATTACACGCTGGTTGCATGAGGCCTGTGTATGACAAAATCGAATAAAACCTTACACAGGTTAGAGCATAATTATTCGATTACAACATAAATAAACAGGTGGCATTATATAACACACCGGAGATAATTCAAAGACTCGCTGAAGAAGTGCTCGCGGCCTCGGGGGAGGTCAGGACGAAATGGCGGGAGGGGTTTTAGTGAGCGCTGTAGATTTGCGGAGAATCAAGACAGGGCATTAGATCAATACATCCACAACCTCCTTCCCCCCCTGAGGGATTAGAATTATTATGGGTGACTCTCCTTCGCTGTACCACACTGCACGAGGCGTTACTGCTCGGCCTATAATGCATTTTGGCATGTGATTGGGCATAACTAGGTTTATTGGTTAGAAAAGCTGTTATTTGATTTTATTATATTACAAACGAAACGTAGTTTTGCACACATCGTGATTAAGAGCATTTGTAATTTACATAAACCGCTGGTGTTCTGAACCAGCGTAACGATTCATCCTGGATATTAATAATAACAAATTTCCCTGGAGGATAAATTAACAACATAAATACGTCAATTGCAATCAAAAAGGTTTTTTCTCTTATTGATCTCTGCATCATACATTTTTAATACCGCAAAATATGTATGATTCTAATGCTAGAAGGGAAAAAAATCATTTTAAGAGATTGTGTCATTAATGATAAACAGGTATTATTGATTTCCACTAGCTGGCTTGTTAGACTTCATATTAGTTCACATCACTTATTTATTTTAAACACTCAAATAAAGATTTTACATAGAGAAAATAAGTGAGTTTCTGGCCGACTTGCTGTTGAGAAAGATGTTTGCTTTGGTCATTTAAACATTCATAGACTAAAACAACAGTCCCTCTTTTTAGCACACAGGCCAAAAGCTTGGGCAGCCAGAGCACTAGAAGGATAGGACGGTAGATAATCATGCATGCTAGAACAAAAACAGTTCAAAGACTTGCCTCTGCACTCTCATTAAATGGAAAAATAACTCCAGGGAAAAAGATCCATTAGTGCTATATTGCTCTTGAATATACTGCATGTCTGAATGCTTTGTCACTTCTTATAAATGGTAAGAAAAAGAAAAGCAGAATTGTGAGATGTGGCAGCGTGCAAAAGGGGGGAAAAACGTAATAAACATGTTTTGGTGGAATACGAAGGAGGGGGTCTCCTGGTAAATTAATTTGACCTGAACAGAATTGCAATATGTACAAAAAAAAAACCTTTCTGGTGGGAAATGATACTGGTGTGTTATACTTTAATTCATCCAGAAAAGTGTTTAATCTAAAACAGATTGCTTTTAGTCTTTTAGGCAACAGTCTTTCAGTTGTCAATACACAATGCAATTCTCACCCTAGGCTTTCAGATTTGCAGATTACACAGCTTTTAATCAAATGTGAAACAAGTGTGTCAAGAATATCTCTGTACATGTTTTCTTTGGACCATTTGCACTCTTCAAATGTGACAAAAAGATTGGACAGGAAATTGCAAAAAAGTGGAAAATAGAAAATGCAATAAAAACGTAGCTGTCTGGATTGAAAGATGACACTGCAGGTACTTCTAAACTCCTAAATAAAGCAGGTACTTCATTTATTTCTAAATGAGCCAACTCATTAGTACTCAAATATTGCCAATCTGTAACATAACATCCATATAAAATGCAAATGTACACAAGCTTATAAATATATGAATATCTATATGGGGTTTACATTTTTGGATATTACATTAAAATTGCTGCAAGTTGTAAATACATATGCAAAAATATATAAATCTGCAAACAGCAAAAAAAAAAGGAATAAGCCTAGGAAATAAAGGCCAAAGGAAACAAGTGGTGACGAGGTAAAGATCAAGCCTTGATCTTTTTAAAGCAGTAATATTTAATAATAGTAATATTTCTTCTATTATAGACATCAAAAGCAAGAGCTTTCAACTGCACTGGCAATTTAAATTTGTTCTTAAACCTCTACCGGTGCAACTCATTAGTACTCAAATATTGCCAATCTGTAACATAACATCCATATAAAATGCAAATGTACACAAGCTTATAAATATATGAATATATATATGGGGTTTACATTTTTTGGATATTACATTACAATCATTGCAAGTTGTAAATACATATGCAAAAATATATATAAATCTGCAAACAGCAAAACAAAAGGAATAAGCCTAGGAAATAAAGGCCAAAGGAAACAGGTGGTGACGAGGTAAAGATCAAGCCTTGATCTTTTTAAAGCAGTAATATTTAATAATAGTAATATTTCTTCTATTATAGACATCAAAAGCAAGAGCTTTCAACTGCACTGGCAATTTAAATTTGTTCTTAAACCTCTACCGGTGCAACTCATTAGTACTCAAATATTGCCAATCTGTAACATAACATCCATATAAAATGCAAATGTACACAAGCTTATAAATATATGAATATATATATGAGGTTTACATTTTTTGGATATTACATTACAATTATTGCAAGTTGTAAATACATATGCAAAAATATATATAAATCTGCAAACAGCAAAACAAAAGGAATAAGCCTAGGAAATAAAGGCCAAAGGAAACAGGTGGTGACGAGGTAAAGATCAAGCCTTGATCTTTTTAAAGCAGTAATATTTAATAATAGTAATATTTCTTCTATTATAGACATCAAAAGCAAGAGCTTTCAACTGCACTGGCAATTTAAATTTGTTCTTAAACCTCTACCGGTGCAACTTCCTCACGGCTCCTGGTCTCCAGTTGGAGCTGAAACCCCAGAGTCATGACACAGCCACCCCAACCCTGACGATGACATCACTACCGAGAGCTCCGTAATCCCTGCTTTAGCACCAGCCGCAGAGTCCACTTGATCTCAATCCTGGATACATCACTGCTAACGCTAGCTTTCTTTTTTTTTTTCCCTCAGCCATTCAAGAGCATTTGAAACGTCAAACCTTGACCCACTTTTTACTAAGAATACTAGAATTACACATGCGTGCCATGATTATGTAATCTAAACGGCCCACTTTTGATGTCCGAATTACAAGTTTTTCGACTAGTGCAACACTGACATGTACAATGTTATATTATTTTATTAATCAGACAGAAACATTCCCCCTCCTAAAGGCATTTCGGCTTACATCAGTCAATGCCAAACTGGCAGAGAGAGACATAATGAATAGCACACCTGTATTTCTAACAGATTTAGGGCACGGAACCAAGAGAGGTGACGAATATTCACCTGCTGTGCTAAATTATGATTCAGAATTAATATTTGCCCAATTGCTGGATTTAAGTAAACAACCATTAGTAATCTTTATTACCCAGTAATGGGTAATAAACAGTTTAACAGGTTAATCTGCTGTTGACCAAATTAGCCACCTGATCTAATCTAATCAGTGCAACTTGTCAGTAAAACTTAGTTTGGTGTTTTACATCTTTACACACACACATTATTATGATAAAATGATAATGTTAAATAAAATGTTTTCAATATTAAAATACATCCTCCCTTATTTGTATATATTTTTAGAAATTATTTCAATTTATCTTGCAACTTTAATTTCTATTTGAAACAGAAAAATAATTCTAACCCCATCTTATCACAGAATTACACATTTTTTGCCAAAAAAATGCCAATAGAATGCCAATACACAGTGTTCTGGGAGAGGAGTATTAGCCACAAAATTCCTGAGGGAAGCTATGAACCTCTGTGAACGCCTTTAAATAAGTCCGTCTCTTGATATGAACTTGCAGCAACATGGCATCTATTAAAATAAGTCAGTGAAGGCGGTATTTGTCCACACCCTAGCTATCCCAAATAAAAGGCTCTTTCACTCTGGACTCCTACAGGTAACTAGCAACTGCATCTACAAACAGGAAAGATGGTGACTTCATACATAAAAAAGAAAATAGAATCCACATTAACTTTACTGGTACAGCGTCTGCTTATCCTGGGGTTCACTGTCACACAAAAATCTAAATGTATTTCTGCCTGGATTTAGGTTAGGTTGAATAAGGCAAACCTATTTCTTGCTGACAGAAATATACGTATGACTCAGTTTGCATGTTTACATGGCCAATGTAAAATAATATAAATAATATAATATAAATACACAATATTTTCCAGATTACTTCTAATCCTAAATAAAAATGCTTTGGAAGAATCCATACTATATAAAAGGTTATAATATGAATACTATAATATAAATACTATGTTATTCAATTCAAATAAAATACAATATAAATAAAAATGTTTTAATATAAATGCTATAATATATATAAAATAATCCTAAACTCTACAGGTAAAAACACACTTCAAAATCTTTTTAAAAATTAGAATCTTTATTTAAAAATTTACAAGAAAATCTTAGTACATACTCTAAACTTTGAGTTTACATATTACAAGCACCTTTTAAATGTCGAAGCAACAGCAAACTCCAGGCATGAATAAAACAACTAAGAAATTAAAATAAATAATTAATGGCACATTAGGAAATAAATTGAATGCATGATAGTTAAATGTATAATAATGGAAAACTGTGCACCAGTACACACACTAACCTGCACCACAAATAACATAGTATCAACATAAGTCTAAATATACTATGAAAATACAAAAAGAAACAAATGTGATCAAATTAGTTTACCATGTAAATCATGCACTTAAAACATTTCTAGTCAGCAAGGTTTACAATGAACTTATGCATGCATCCAAAATACATTCTTGCCCTGAGCAACATCCGGAGTCAACATTCTGTCTGGAAAATTCAATCAGGAACAAGAGTGCAAAACACTATATACACTGCAAGTCTTACGTCACAAGAGGCCCTGAACACAGCTGGAGTCACGATTGAACAACGCCGCAGGTAATTAGTTCCTTCTTGCCCCCATACCTTAATGAGATTTAACCCTTTGTTCCCCAGTCCCGGTTTGGCAAGGAAGGGGTTAAAACCTGTTGAGGCATGTGAGGAAGATAGGACTAATTATCCAGCTACTTATTTATGTCAAGTGCCCCGCTGTTGTGTGTGTGGTACAATGACAAATGCCGCAGAAAGCCTCGACACGGGAAGGGATATGATAGGGAGACTGCGTGTCTTTTCACCACTGAATGTCACAGATACAAGCATGTTTAAACAGCACTTCACAAAACAAACGCAAATAGAAGGGAACGTACCGTCTTTGAGTCTAATTCGTGGTGAGGTTGAGCTAGGACCTTATCTACACTGGCCGCATCCACAAACGTAACGAAGCCAAATCCCCTGGAAAACAAAACAAACAAAAACACAGACATACATTAGGAGCTGACAGCAATGCGTTACACGTGTTTGACTGGTAAGCTTGTTAACATATCCATTCTATTCTATTATTGAATGCTACATGAACTTTGATATCTGTAACAATTTTAATTACATGTTATCTTAGAAATATAGTGCGTCAAGGACAAAAGAGTATGGTAGGTTACACAAAAATGGAAATTCTGTCATCATTTACTCACCCTCATGTCGTTCCAAACCCGTATGACTTTCATTTGCCTGAGGAACATAAAAGAATGTGTAGAATGACAGCTTCAGTCACCATTCACTTTCACTGTAACGTTATGGGGGGGGAAAGATGCAAATAAAAGTGAATGGTGACTGAAACTGTCAGTCCCTAACAATTCCTTTTGTGTTTCACAGAATAAACAACGACAGAATTTCCATTTCCGTGTGAAATATCCCTTTAATATGTCCACCCTATTATATTATTTAGCAAGAACCTTGGTTGAGCAAGAACCAAGAACCAACTTAGCACTTGGTTGGCAAAACATTTCAGATAAACTTCTGCATAACGTGTTACCTTAGAAATAGTCAGTCAAGGACACATATGGACTTTTCACGCCACACTTAATCCTCGGTTAACGTCTTTTTAAACCCTGGGTAAAGGCCAGTTATAACCTTAGGTTAAGAAACGTTTCAAACTTGTAATTTGAAAGGTGTTCAGCAGCGCCTTTTAACCGACTGTTATGAAATTCTACTACATATGTTTAGCAACAGACAACCAATCATAAACTGCTTCGGCGCTTACCTCATTAAATATTCATAAGCATTGTACAGTCGCAGAAACTTTCACGCGCCGTTTAATTTAAATGTTTGAGGGAAACAATGTATTTCTGCGGTACATTTCAGAAGATGTAAAGCAAATGGAGAGGGGCTGCGTAGCGACATTTCTACGGATATTAAAACAGGTCGCGTGCTGTAAGCGTCCAACCAACGTTTTAAGCCTCATGAATATGCAAATGAAAACGCTAACGTACAGTAAGAAATCTTGCAATCTGACAGCGGAGGATTAATTACTAATCCAGGGTAAAGTATGAACGGTGTGAAACATGGAACAAAATAACCCAGGGTTAAGAATGACAATTTCAAGTGTGAAAAACCCATTAACGTGCCAACGTCGAAGATAAAAACACAAGCAACCGCATTAAGCGCTCGGTTTATTAAAGACATTTGGTTTAACATGAAGAATCCCAAATCAATGTCAAACTGTATCCTATTCACAGACACACCGATCCAGTCGCCTCAACAGCGCATAGCATCCGAATAACAGCGCAAGGGCAAAATCGCCAGTTTATATCGCTTTGAATAAAAACCTCAACGTGTTAAGGGATTTAAAAATAATTTCAAAAAAACAAAAAAACATTGTCTTTGTTTTTTACCTGGAGCGTTTTGTTGTGGGATCTCTCATCACCATACATTCTCTGATTTCTCCAAATTTACTAAAATAGTCTCTAAGGCTGTCTGTGAAACAAAACAGAAAGAAAAGAGCACACATGAGCAAAGCATTCGTGCGTTACACACCAGTTTGTAAATTAAACGCCCCCCTGGATGTCTAACAGGGGTCGAATAGAGGACTTCAAATGACGGCACATATCCCGCACAGCGCGCCACACTGATACAATGAAAGAAACACAACACAGCCCGACAAACGCGCGCAAATGACAGCGAACCATCGGTCTCTTACCTGGTGAAGTTTGCCAGCTGAGGCCACCGATAAACATTTTACTGTAAGGGGAAAACACAGCAGAAGTGAGTCCAGATGTCAGATCGGCCATTTTGACGTGTAGCTAGCGACAAAAAAAGCAGAGCTAAACGAAGGCAAAGCAGAGAGGTGTGTGTTTACCGAGCCCTGGCGGGCTGTGCTCTCTAATATACATCAAACAAAGGTGTAGTAGTTCCGTGCATCCGGAAGAGCGTTTTTAAAACATGTTCACTGGAGAAAAACACACAAGGAAAAAAGTCAAGTGCTGTCAGTATTGGCTCTGGCTTACCCCGGGTCGTGTTGCGAATCGTTAGGGCTTCCAGATGTGGCTTGGCTCCCGTCTCCCTCCATGGCTAACCCAACTATGGCCAGTAACTAACACACACACTGTCAGAGCTAAGAGAATATTACTGAGCCGGGAATGCGAGCGTCACACGTGGGATCAGCTCTGCCTGGCTCCCTCCCCCTCCCGTCACCCACACGGGGCGGAGCGCAAAAAAACAAAAAAACATTGTCTTTGTTTTTTACCTGGAGCGTTTTGTTGTGGGATCTCTCATCACCATACATTCTCTGATTTCTCCAAATTTACTAAAATAGTCTCTAAGGCTGTCTGTGAAACAAAACAGAAAGAAAAGAGCACACATGAGCAAAGCATTCGAGCGTTACACACCAGTTTGTAAATTAAACGCCCCCCTGGATGTCTAACAGGGGTCGAATAGAGGACTTCAAATGACGGCACATATCCCGCACAGCGCGCCACACTGATACAATGAAAGAAACACAACACAGCCCGACAAACGCGCGCAAATGACAGCGAACCATCGGTCTCTTACCTGGTGAAGTTTGCCAGCTGAGGCCACCGATAAACATTTTACTGTAAGGGGAAAACACAGCAGAAGTGAGTCCAGATGTCAGATCGGCCATTTTGACGTGTAGCAAGCGACAAAAAAGCAGAGCTAAACGAAGGCAAAGCAGAGAGGTGTGTGTTTACCGAGCCCTGGCGGGCTGTGCTCTCTAATATACATCAAACAAAGGTGTAGTAGTTCCGTGCATCCGGAAGAGCGTTTTTAAAACATGTTCACTGGAGAAAAACACACAAGGAAAAAAAGTCAAGTGCTGTCAGCATTGGCTCTGACTTACCCCGGGTCGTGTTGCGAATCGTTAGGGCTTCCAGATGTGGCTTGGCTCCCGTCTCCCTCCATGGCTAACCCAACTATGGCCAGTAACTAACACACACACTGTCAGAGCTAAGAGAATATTACTGAGCCGGGAATGCGAGCGTCACACGTGGGATCAGCTCTGCCTGGCTCCCTCCCCCTCCCGTCACCCACACGGGGCGGAGCGCAGAAGGGGCTCGTCACCTCACCCATTCCATTGACGTCATTAGCATGGCCCCGCCCACCCGGGGCTCAGCGCAGGAGGATCGGATCGGATCGCGTCACTTTTATTATTGTCACATCGCCGTAGAAACACACAAGCGTAGCGGATTCACATTATACACATGTAGAAATGAAAGAAGCGAATGTAAACAAAGCTACGGAAAGTCTGTCTGAGTGATGCACTGATACATCTGAATATCACACCCAAGATCCAGAGTAGAATTAGCAGCCAAGTGATCTTTTTCTGCTAGATTTTTTTAATTGCAAACCAAGAGAGAAATATTACATCGCAGATAATATTAATAAGCACTGATTAATTTTTAATACTTCTCCCCAAAGAGAATTCATAACTTACCTTATGTTTGTTTTGAGTTGCTCAAACATGTCCGAAAAGCAAGCAGGGCGTAAATTAATTTGCACACAGGCTTGTGTGATTAAATCAATGGAGGATGTCATTTTTTCCCCCCCTAAATCTTCGGGGTTTACAAATAGCTGTTTTTCTTATTATGAACTAATTATTATATTGAGAAATCACATTTGTAAACACGCCATATCACGCGCTAATGATATAACATTACACACAATATAAAAAATGTTAAAATTGAAAAAAAAAAAAAAAATGATTGGAGTATGTTTTACAAGTTCAAAACTTCAATGTGTTACAAGCTGTTTCTTTGTAATTGTGTGAGAAATTTACAATCAATTTTCAAGTGAAAACTGTTTCTACACCAATTTTTCCAGTATGCAAATATGATATCTATAAGGTGCTAAAATCTAACAGCAATAATCTCCTACTCACTGACCAAAGAATACATGCCTTAAACATAAGCAATCATAAATCAATACTTGTAATCACATTCTCAAGCGTACATGCAAATAGTATGTATGATTATTGTTTTCCACTGCTGTGTATATTCATATATTGACTGTACAGAATACACCTCCTTCAGCAACACCCATCTGTCACATTGAGACGTTAAACTGGAAATATCTGAGGCTATCACACACCGCCTGGGGGTCTTTGGACCCCTCAACTTCTGCAAAATGCAGTTTCACACATCAATTAATGGTCTTTAAAATGCACAAAAAGGTTAAGGGATCTTGTGCTTATTATCCATGGAGAGGGGGAAGAGCGAAAAGGAAATAGACAAAGAGAGGGGCTCAATTAAGGCTGCCTGCTCAGTGGATTTTCAGTCATGCTACAGTGATTGCTGTTTATTTCCTGCAGCTCTGTTTGAGAGAGGCTCCGCGGCCCAAAGACACCTCATCATTCTTCTTTTTTGTTCTCTAGTCTATACCTATACCAATTCATATTTCCTCTTCTCGCCTCTCCTGCTAAAGATAGCTTCTGAACAACAGTCAGAACTCTTGAAGTAAAGAGCCCACATAAAGCCGGTGTCCAGAGGAGGGAGGCTGAGATGCTCTTGATTGGCAGGTGAACCCGCTGTCTCACCTCACTGCCTAGCGGGCAGCTTGTTGGTAAACTGACACACCTGTGGGGCACAACCCAGAAAACGAAACATCTCTCTCCCCTCTCAGTTTATACTCTCTCGGGCTTTGAGCAAGACAAGACCACCGTTTTGAAAAAGAAAAAAATAAACAACGTGTCAAAGATACTATTGTTTTCAATGTAAACGTTTTATTGACATTAGTAATTCTAATAAGTATTAATAATAATTGAGCTCCCTTCTGCTCTTAGCCTGAAATGTCATTTCTGTTAAGTTCAAATATGCATCACCACCGCCGTTCCATTCCATTGTAATTCAATACGCAATTCAATTTCTGATAGGCTTTGGCAGAACATTTTACAGGGTATTTAAGATAATCAAAATGACAATTTCATAATAGGATTTGATAAGCATAATGGTGGACAAAATAGTTTATTCAGCACAGTTGCCTTTCGTTTTGAAAGAAAGTACAAAATAAAATTTCATCTGACCACCTGAAAGCATGTTGTGTTTCATGCCTTGTCTTTTCTCTGGCATTATGATGAGGCGCTATGCCAGATCAGAACTGGGCCGTCAAAGGGGGCTGTTTTTAGAATCATGGCTCATTGAGATTTGGCATAATTGAACAGGAAATTACTGTTCGGAGCAAGGTTTTAAATATCTACATGATGTCCCGAGTGTTTCATTGCATATAAGCCTTAAAGAGCATTTAGGGATATGTTTATTGTGAGGTCAAATGCTTACTGGTTCATTAAAGAACACTGCGGACCTCATTAGACTTTTTATTAGAGTATCATTTACTTGTTAGAACTGTATTACCAGTTGCAGAATTAGCTCAAAACATTTTTGACACCTTTAATTGTCTGATCGCACAAAAACAAATCTATTCGTGTACATTTCGCCGCGTAGATCAGCCATAAAATCATCTACATAATAAATACACTGCTGCCACGAGACGAGGCATCAGTTTCATACGCTTATGAATTTTACCATTCACCATATGCATATTCATGTTGCTCGTGACATAAACAGAGACACGGCTGTCGGGTTTGATGAAATGAAATTGAAATGCAACTTTAAAAGAAACACACATCAAGAGGATATTTAAATATACACATTTGCATTCGCCGGTTTTGAAGGCACGCTTTATTAATTCCGCAACCCTCACCATTATTAAGTTAAATCTAATGTCTCTGGAAATCCATTAAGTCTTCAAAAACAGCGGAGAAAGACGTCTGAACTGAAGACCCTTATTAAAGACCAGACTAAGTGCACAACACAGATCTGTCCAATTAGAGCCTGTGCATTTTGCAATTAGAGAGAAAAATGTATTGTGCCAAACATTGCCTAAAATGGCCAATTTGACAATGGAGTTAGAAAATATCTGCTCAGATCTTTAAATGGATAATTAGAGAGATAATATTTCATGTTTAAGAAACAGTTTTAATGGAGGTTGAAATAATAAAGAATGGAGTCTCATCACGTTGTCGCTTTTCAAAGCAGCGTTCTGGTTCTTAGAAATGATTATAAAAGTTCTTTAGTTTGATACGTTTTCGAAACCCAGAATGATCACTATTCAAATCTGAAGAACTATGTAAAATGGCTTGCCACCATGGCACTAAAAATCCTTGAGTACAAATATTGGGGGGCGGGGGTGAAAATAACCTAAAGAGACAACCCAATTTATGGTTGTTAATTTCTAATTGGCTGGTCCACTACTCTTTCTTTCTGTTTTAATTGGTAAATGAGTTAATTACTACATTGGTTGATTTTAAATTAGATTTTTAACAATTTCTGAGAATTCCAACTACCTCATCGGTTGAGTTTAAATTTGAACTTTGCATTTTAAAGCATTTCTTCTTTTGTTAAGCATTTATAACTAAAACCGTTCTGAAATCAACAAGTGATACTAGTTTCTTAAATCCCACATTTTCTTAAATCAGTTTCTTAAAAAACTGTTTCTTAAATCCCACATTTAACTCAAAAAGCCTAAAATGATTAAAATCACTAAGACTAATTGGGAAAAGGATGAATTAAAACGCCATTATGTACTTTGAAGGAAATCAAATCTGGCTCAAAAGACCCAAGAATCAATAGAATCAATGCAGAGATTTTCAGTCGTGTTACTGACATGGTCAGTATGTGAATTCCAAATAAATCAATAGTCCTGTCACATCATCACTAAATGAGCATTGATCACTTCCTCAATCACGTTATCTGATGTGCATTATCCTGTCACATGAATTGCTGTTTCTTATCACATCCAAACATCCATTTCTGTTTTATTTCCCTGCACAGATTGTTCCATAGACAACATATGGCTGTTGCTTTATTTACAGAAATGTCGGTTCGACGAATCTTTCACATTTTCACGAGCCCAATATAGCATTAGTGCTATTGTGCCCCTGTCGGTATTATGAGATGCCCACAGCGACACTAACAGCATCATTTAGGCCATGTGCGATTCACTATATTCAAATTCAAATCTGGATCTTTCCTCCTTTATCCACACCTGTACACATCAAGGAATGTAACAAAAAAGGCCACTCAGAAAAGATGTTAGCGCTCATTCTAATGATCTGCCATCAAAGTTATTGGCACACGCTTCAAAGCAGACGCTCTATTCATCAGCCGCTCGAGAAGTTACGCGCAAACAGAGG